AAACCATCACTACTACTTATAAAAACAACTTATCAAATGCATCGTTTACCAACAAGACAAAAAATGAAATCAAATCTACTGGAGACAGAAACAAGTGGAAAAACACATAATAAAAAGAGATCAGTGCGTGCGTGCGTGCGTGCGTGCGTGCGTGCGTGCGTGCGTGCGTGCGTGCGTGCGTGCGTGCGTGCGTGCGTGCGTGCGTGCGTGCGTGCGTGCGTGCGTGCGTGCGTGCGTGCGTGCGTGCGTGCGTGCGTGCGTGCGTGCGTGCGTGCGTGCGTGCGTGCGTGCGTGCGTGCGTGCGTGCGTGCGTGCGTGCGTGCGTGCGTGCGTGCGTGCGTGCGTGCGTGCGTGCGTGCGTGCGTGCGTGCGTGCGTGCGTGCGTGCGTGCGTGCGTGCGTGCGTGCGTGCGTGCGTGCGTGCGTGCGTGCGTGCGTGCGTGCGTGCGTGCGTGTAATAAGACATATTGTAATAATAATAGAGTTAAAAAAATGTGTAAGTATATAAATATATATTTACAATTCAACATTGTATTATGATGTACAATAAAAGATTATTATTTGCAAAAAATACAATTATAAAATATTTATTTCCCCATTTTTATTTCTAAAAAATGTTTTATATTTTACATCTCAGGCTGTATTCTGATAGTTACTAGCAGTATCGGAAATCTATAATTCACACTACATATATGCTACGAATTTTCAGTACTGGAAATAAATCTTGAAATACATTCTTAATAATGACATTAAAAATAATATTTAATTTAAATTCGGTAATTATTGAGTTTGGCTTCCGACGCCAACAATTGTTTCAGCCATATTCAATCGTTTTTTGTGCAAAAATGCGTCGAATGAGCCTAATTTTTATCAAAATCGTATGTGAGGGAGCTAACTCAATAATTTCCCGAAAAGTAACGAAAAAGTAATAATTCGTTGCTTTTACAAGTAATGGTAATAGTAACACGTTACTTTTTAAAATAAGTAATAATAATAGTAATTTTTTAACAAAAACTTAATGTAACTGTAATGCGTTATTTTTTTAAGGTAATGTTTCCAACTCTGCGTGTGATCAATGTGAAACATATTTTATACGTCAAGAAATAATTGATGAAACACATGAAGATGTAGAATTTCATGTACGTATATAATAAGTGAATAAAGATAGTATAATGTTCCACTTAAATAAATGTTTTTTTAATCGCTTATAATTTGCGATAAGTATTTCTTTAAATAACGTATTAAGAGTAGGTTTTAATAACCAGATATGTTATATTTTTTAAATACGTTAATAAAAGATTGAGCATATATTATATTTATATGCTTTTACCACGATGTTTGACTGAATGTAAAATATTTTCTACCTAACACATCAGCGCAATTAATTTAAGATTTGCTGAAAACGTATTTTGTTTATGGAATGAAAAACATTTAAAAAATATTTGCGAAATATGATTAAAATCCAGGTGATAATTTAATTTGATCATATCTGGATTCCAATCATATTCTCCAAATGTTTTTTAAATGTTTTTCATTTCATAAACAAAATACGTTTTCAACAAATCTTAATTGCGATGTGTCAGTAGAAAATATGTTTACTATTCAGTCAAATGTTGCGATGAAAGCATATAAATCTAATATATGCTCAATCTTTTAACAGATTGGAAGACTCTTCCTATACATAAATAACAATAAATAAAGGGCAAAGTAAGAGTCAAACACATTGCTTTAAAAAAGTTACACAATTAAAAGAACAAATTACAAATAGAAAAAAGTAAAATTGAAAAAATACATAATAAAATAAAAACTCAGTTTAAATACAAATTACAAGTTTGGGCTACCGGATTGAGTCCTCTTTAGACATTAACTTATCGAAAAAAATCGCAGTACCAAATTAATTATCGGAAATGTTCGCATATTCACTATATTCACAGTTCGGGTGAGTCTTGATGTAGAACTCGACATTATTCACGTACGATTGAACAGTCAAATGTGTTTCATATCTCTTGGAAAAGTTCTAGTTGATAAAAAAAATAAAAAGACTTCTTACGAAAAAAAATAAACGCAACTAAATTAACATATCGGAATCCTAAAAAAGTAATTAAAACTCACCAAAAAATAAGTGTAAATAATTTAAAACAAGCGTGTCCGTAAAAGTATGACCATCAGAATATACAGAGTTAAGTAGAACGCAGATGTGTAAGACGGACATTGTATATCGATTGTTATGTGCGCTCGCTAATACAGATCACCAAGGACTGAGAGAAGAGACGGACTGTCAGTATCGAAAAGTCAAACCTTATTTACAATAGGTATATGCCTTATGAAGATCTTCGGTGTCAGTTTGTAAATTTAAACTATTTTTTTGCTTCTTAATATTGAGCATCTCAGAAATTAAGCGTTTCCTATAGCAAGGTTCTTCATCTAAAATTTTAACATTATGTCATTGGAAATCATGATCAGTCTGTGCTCCGTTATGACAGAACGGACAGAAGTGTTATGTCTAATGTGATTACGATATTCTGTAATTCTAGTTTTCAATTGTCTGCCCGTCTGTCCAATGTACGACGCATCACAATTATTACACGATATCTTATAAACTACATTGCTCTTAGATATATAGGGGCAAATATCCTTTTGTACTTTAATATATTTACCCATTTTATTAGGATTATGAAAAGATACCCTGATATCGTTTCTATTGAACCGTTTAAATTTTTCTGTGTGAAAAGGAATAAATGGTACCGTAAGTAAAGATGCAGATTCATTCGCACAGACATTGTCAACCAAATCTTTATGTGCTATGTGTCTATTTTTAAGTAAATTTTTTATACGTTGATTAACTGTGTCAAAAATAAAAGTTAATGAGCAGTCATTATCTAGTAAAACGTTAATAATAAATGTCAATTTTTTTTGTATGAAACATAAGAAAGTAAAAAAGTTCTGTCAACTAGCAAAAAAATTGTATCTTTCTTTTGTGCAATAGGATGATTTAACTTGAAATTTAAAAACTTCCCTGAAAAAAGTAGGTTTGTGGTACCAATCAAAAATAAAACGATTCTTGTTAATAGATATAGTGATATCCAAAAAAATTTATTTTTTCTCCCCCTATTTCTGTAGTGAATTGAAGACGCGGATGAAATGAATTAAATTGTTGTAATAAAATATCAATGTTTGAGGGAGAAATTAATTACTTTTTAGAATTCCAGTATGTAATTTAGTTGCATTTATTTTTTTTCGTAAGAAAAGTCTTTTTATTTTTTTTATCAACTAGAACTTTTCCAAGAAATATGAAACGCATTTGACTGTTCAATCGTATGTGAATAATGTCGAGTTCTACATCAAGATTCACCCGAACTGTGAATATAGTGAATATGCGAACATTTCCGATAATTAATTTTGCGATTTTTTTCGATAAGTTAATGTCTGAAGAGGGCTCAATCCGGTAGCCGAAATTTGTAATTTATTTAAACTGAGTTTTTATTTTATTATATATTTTTTCAATTTTACTTTTCTCTATTTGTAATTTATTCTTTTAATTGTATGACTTTTTTAAAGAAATGTGTTTGACTCTTACTTTGCCCTTTATTTATTGTTATTTATGCTCAATCTTTTATTAATTATTTTAGAAGTATACCATACCTGGTTCTTAAACTTACTCTCTTAATACATTATTTAAAGAGATACTTTTTGCAAATTATAAATGTATCAAAAAAACATTTATTTAAGTGGAACATTATACTATTTTTATTCACACATTATATACATACATGAAATTCTACATCTCTATGTGTTCAACTATTTCTTGACATATAAGATACATTTTACATTGCTCACACATAGTAAAAACAATTATTATATACGTATATTACATTATCATATAAGAACAGTTTAGCTTATACAGGATGAATCAGAGTCATTGAACCAGCTTTTTGACCATACGAGAAAATAATTGACCGCACACGTTATAATTCAATTAGACATGAAATTGATAATTTGCTCAGAGAATAAAAAGTTGATTCAACAAATCTAATTCACCCTGTATACATGTATATCATATTCCTATACTAGTTTTATACTGTATTTATGTTTAATGAACATGTATACTACAATCCTGCTCTTATTAGGTGCTTCAGCTAGTAGTAGAAAACGTTATTAAGCCCCAGACTCAATGCGAGGGAATAGCAATAGCGATAGAAATTACATGATTTCAATCTATCAGAAGCTATGTATTCCGGTTTCTGATAGGTTGAAATCGTGTTATTTCTATCGCTATTGCTATTCTCTTGTATCATGTCTGAAGGTTTACTTTTCAATGTCGAAAACATCTTTAGTTTCATAATTTATTTTTGCAATTAAAAAATAATCATATTGAATCTGTCAATTTAAACTTTAAATTTTTTATATTAAATTTAAATTTAATGCAAATACAAAAACCTCTTATGATAAATCTTTGAAAGATTTGTCAACTTTTAAATATTGGTATTGCCATTGTGGAAAACCATTATGAGAAACAGTGTTATATTTTGAGACATGGAATAAAATAAATTATAAAAAATTGTGTAGCTTATAAGAAAAAGCTAGATTTTTAAAAATAGATCCTCTAAAAATTAAACTTCAAGTGTTTTCTCATTTAAAAAATTGTGGAAAAGTATATTTTTCATTGAAATATAAATTCTTTTGAATATTAACAATTTCTTAAAATTTACGTCAAGTATACATTCTTATTTAAACTAATGATATGTATAATGCCAATATGAGCCAATACAAGGTATTAGTGTGATATAGTCAAAACTTTATTAAGCAATTGTAGTATATGTTTTGACCCTTGTTTCGGATCCTCTTTACTACATAAATTAATAACGCAAAAAACTATCTTAAACATAGAAAAATATAGAAAATAATATTTTTTAAAGTATAAACTTGAAAATTTTAAATATATAAAGGATTCTTCAACAACTATTAAAATTTATTTTCTTTGAAAAAATGTATATGACTTACCTTCGTTGAATTCAAAATCATTGAGGACTTTGTCTAAGTCGATCATAAATTTCTCCATGATACAACAATGTGTTTTCAATCGTATTTTCACTAAATAAATTTATCAACACTATCCAACTTTCATTAATCGTACATGTAATTCCATTAACATTAATTGATATCAATAACCTCCATGATCGAAATATGATTCTCGATGTATAACCAGTGTAACGTAATTGGTATGATTCACACTTCAACATTAATGCATGTTCCTGGAATCTGCTTTAACTTGTTTCTTAAACGAGAGAAACAGATTACACCAATATTCTGCATCAGATGTAATATACGCGTGATTCACTCGTTCCATACAACAATCGTCGAATTCGATTCTTGAGATATGACACTTATCTCTTGAAAAAAATTAAGCACTTCGCGATATTGAAATTAATCGGAATCACTTTGACTTCGTTTTTAAAATGATTTACAAAACGATATAACAATTGTGTCGTATCACATATATACGCAGCCATGTATACTACATATCTTCTATCATATGACAAAACTAGGATCTAAAGGCCGCAGCACAGACTTTAGCATAACGCACAACGCATAGTGCATAAGCGAATCAACTAATCAGAATTTTCCCTTTCCTCCCATTCCATAAAAAAGAAGAATTTTGATTGGTTGATTCCCTTATGCACTATGCATTATGAGTTATGTAAGAGTCTGTGCTGCGGCCATAAAGCTGCGACTTGCGTTGACTGCGTTCAGATAGAATACCTATAATAAGAGTACAGCCAACAATGATCGATGATTGGCTCGTCATATTAAGCCAAAAACGGAAGTTGTGTGCCTGTGTGTATTATCAGTGTGCATACAATGTGCACCTAAGGACTTCTTTCCTTTGGAAATTTTTACAAATTTAAAAGTGATCACCTTTCTACATTAATGTTCACAGTTCGTGCGCGATTAACGATACGATTAAACTTTACGTCCGTGAACAACTAAATTTGATGGAAAATAATCTGAATTTTGGGAAGTTTTAAATAACTAATTTTTTTTTTCATATCTCCGTGGATAATTTACTGCCACGACTGAAAATCTAGGCCCGTATTCAGAACGCGCTTTTATCGATAAAAGTTTGAATTTCAATCTAGAACATGTTTGACAGCTATTATGAGACGTTATAACGACTGTGCTATCCGTACAGACAATTTCGATGATCACGTCTATCAGAAGACCGGAATAGATACCGACGAAGAATTGAATATTTCAGCCTAGCCTGACTCCTTGACTTACAGATCTTCTCAAATGTTGTATTTCGTCTTTGTTTTATTTCGTATAGCCCAGCCAATAAACGAGTCTGTCGGAGAGTGGGTTTTTTCCGTAGTATATTGCTACGAAAACCTTTTGTGGTAATGCGTTTACCTGAAAAATGTAATAAAAATCCACAAAGCAATTGTTTTTTTATTTAATGCAATTTAATGCAAACTTATAGGGAAAAGAAAACTTATCTGAAATGCCATGTTATTTTCCTGGAAGCTTGCTGAATAATATATATTTACGCATTTCATGCCAAGATTCGTATATGTTATTGTCACTGTTTTTTCCACGGAGATATGAAATAAAAATACTAAAGTTTAAAACTTCCGAAAATTCAAGTTATTTCGTCTTTCCATCAAATTTAGTTGTACACGGACGTAAGATTTAGTCGTATCGCGTACGAACTGTGAGCATAAATGTAAAAAGGTGGTCACTTCTAAATTTCTAAAAATTTCCGAGAAAAAGAATCAAAGTCCTTAGGTGTACACCATTTACACAGCCATTTAGATTATTTCGCCATTTAGACTATTTCGAGCGAGTTTTCTGTGTGTGAGAGATAAGTAATTTGTTTGCTGATCATTTTATTCGGTGAGTCATTTAAATTAAGAAGAGAGGTAAGTGGATTTCAGTGGAATTATATATTTTTTTAATGAAATAAAAACTTGAATTTCTCGTGTAGTCATTGTAACTTATTTATTTGTTGACACATTAGAGAACAATGCCTAGCTGTGTAGCAGATTATTACACAAACTCTGCTAAAAAGGATTTTAAAATGTGTCGCTTTCTACGAGACTTAAAAAGACGAAAAATTTATGCTGAAAGTACAGGACGACAAGACTGAATTACGTCTAATTGTGATGAGGTTAGTAAGAATTTGCTTTTGCGATTTTTTTGTTACAAATAAATTATTAAACAATGTATATATATTGTATATATAATACTAGTATATTGTATGTATATTGTATTGTTAAGACATTCTGATGCAGAAATGTTTTAATGCAAAGATGAAGATAGAGAGAAGAGATGTAATTGTATATTGATTTATTACTTTATATTATTATGCAATTCTATCGTCACTGATAATGTTTTGGATGTAAATTGACAAATTGAATATATACTGTAATAAAGTACTTATATATATCTAATACAAAATTAAATATACTCTTAAAAAGATAATTAATATTCCTATTTTTAAGCTCATTCATTTTCATATCGTTTATTTTTAAACAAAAATTTCACTTTTATTCTACAATAGTAGTATATGGGCAGCCATGGAGCGTCACAACAAACCCCCTCCACGTCTCCCTCTGGCGCCATGGGCGTGGCCTAGCCGGGTCAGTCAGCCGAAATGGCGCGTTCTGATTGGCTCGCTCCATACTCGCCCAAGATTTGATTGGTTCGCTCCATACTCGCCCAAGATTTGATTGGTTCGCCCTGTACTCACCGAAGATTTGATTGGAGGGGGTGGTGGTAGAGGGTCTTAGACGAAATAGAGATTTGAAAAATGGTGAGTGGGGGATTGGACTTCAGCGTTCTTTGTCGCGCGGCTAGAGTATGAACAGAGGGGGGTGGGGGAATGAAAACCGGTCTAATCTTATGACGG